AAAAGTGCTCAACATCATTAATCACTAAGGAAATGCAAATTATAACCACAATGGGATTCCAGTAAACACCCAGTAGAATAGCTAAAGTTATGAATATAGTTAGTATCAATGATTAGAATGTAGAGCAACTGAAATACTCACAGATTGTTAATGGAAATGAAAAATAATAGACATCTCATAAAGTAGTATAGTAGTATCTTATAATATTAAACATATACATACCATACAACCTAGCACCTATCTTTGATATTAACCCAAAAGAAATTAAAATTCAGGTACATACAAACCCCATTATTAAAATTTAGGTACATTCATAACACCATTATTCATAATACCTAAAAACTGGAAGTGTAATTCAAATATCCACAATCTGGTGAATAAACTGTGGTAATACTATAGCCATACCAAGGAATAAAAAGGAACAAAATATTAAAACAGATAACGTATTTAAATCTCAAAAACATTATGCTAAGCAAACAAAGTAAACACAAAAGACTGCCTATTTTATGATCCCATTTATATAAAAATCTAAAAGAGACAAACCATTGTGACAGAAATCAGACCAGTGGTTGCCTGGGCCAGGATCTGGAGGAGGGGATCAAAGAGCATGAGAAAACTATTTACAGTGAAGAGAGTATTCGCTATCTTAAATGTGGTGGTGGTGGTTACATGGCTGTGTATAATTGCTAAATTCATTAAATTGTACATTCAAAAACAAAAAAGGGAAAAAGATCTTTGCAACTCAGATCATAGATATGAGGCTGACTTTCCTAAACTTTAGGGAACTCTTAGATATCAACAGGGAAAAAAGGACCAACAAGCCAACAGAAAATGAGCAAAGGAAATGAATAGTTTATTTACAAAAAAAGGAAGACCAAATGGTTCTTAGGTAAATCTAAACAATGCATAATCTCACTGATACAAAAAATGCAAATGTAAAATTATACTGAGAAACCATTTTTCACACGTTGGATTGCCAAGAATTCAACCTCTTGGCAATGTTGTTCTATAGAGGTTATATAGAAATGATCTCATAGATTGCTGGTGGACAAGTATATTGGTATAGACCTTACAGAAAACAATTTGGCAATATTTGTAAAATTATAAATACATTAACCCTTCCATCCGACAACAATTCTACTTCTGGAAATTTATAAACTTGCATACACATGAAATGACATACGTACAAGGTTAATCTGTACAGCAATACTCTTAATAGGAGAAGACTGTAAATTCAAATGACTGTCAACAGTGGTGGAAATGGTTAAATAAATTATGATACATTCAAAGAATAAAACATACCTATCTACAGAAAATAAGAGCTCTCTATATACTGATTTAGAAATAGCTATATAACATTTTTAATTAAAAAAAACCCCAAGAAATAAAACAGTGACCATCATATGACATATTCCGTGTAAATATGGGGGGATAAGAATTTATAAATTCACAATTATTTGAATATATACATAAATACTTTGGAAAGATAATGCAAAACTAGTAAGAATGGTTACTTGCTAGGGTGAAGAATGGGAAGAGAGTATAGCACTGGAATAGAACATATTTAAAATTCTTTTTTTGGACAATATAAATATATTACTTTATTCAAAAAAATTAGGTGAATTAGTGAAAATCAATTTGATATGAAAATAACTTAAAAAAACACACTAATGTGATTTGCAAAGACAGGTTACAAACTTGGAGATGATATTTACAATTCAAAAAACCTAAAGGACTATGGAAACATATATATACACACATATAAAGAGCTCCTACAAATTAGTAAGAGAAAGACAAATAATCCAATGGCGAGGGAAAATGCAGTACAGTATATTACTAATGATAACATAACTAGGAGTCAATAAACATGAAACAATGCTAAACTTAATGATCAAGGGAGTGAAAAGTAAAATATTCATGACATATATTATCTCAACTAGATCGCAAAAATTTAAATCTAATAATATGAACTGTTGTTAAGGATCTAGGTTGGGGAGAGCAAAATATAGCTTGTGGGACAGCCTCCTGTTCCAGTAAATAAAATTTTACTGGAATGAAGCCATGCATCTGGTCTATGGCTACTTCCTACCTATACAGGCAGAGTTGAGTAGTTGCAACACATAACTAAAACATTTACTATCTGGCACTCTGTAAGAAAATGTTTGCTAATTGCTGATGGGACGATAGGAATTCCTGTTGGTAGGATGAACACTAGTATAATCACTTTGTAAAATAATTTGAAATGATCTACTAAAGCTAAATATGTAATGGATATACACAACAAACTTTACAGCAACAATGACTGTATTAGCAAAAAATAGAGAAAATATCAAATACCCATTGATAAAAGAATGAGTATAAATTGTGGTTATTCAAACAACTAGTGTGTAGCAGTGAAAATGAAACTATAGCTATATGCATAAATATGAGCTTTCATAAATGTAATACTGAAAAATAATAATACAGTTGTAGAACAAAATAATAAACTTGTAGAAGAATAAAACATTTGTATGAAGTTCAGAAATATGCAAAACCATGTATTATTTTCAGAATACAAACATATGTAGTAAAATTATGTAGAAAGGCATCAACTGACAAACACAAAATTCAAGATTTTAAGTATTTTCTGCAGGTAGGATACATTTGGAAAGAGGAACAAAGGGTGCTGCAATGATACTGGCATTGACCTATTCTTTCAGCTAGGTGATGGTGTTAATTATTGCTATTCTGTTTCAATAAATGTAAATATACTCTTACACATATTTGATATTTAATAATTTTCAACACTCTATTAAAAGAAATCAGTAATGAAGAAACTAAATGCTACAAAAAAATGTTATTTGGAAAATAATAATTTTCCATTTAATTTATAAATAATGAGATCCCAATAAAAGAGAGAAAGAACACTGAAAGTAGAGAAGGTTAACTACTCACTCCACTGTCTAGCCCCTCAGCAGTATTGTTAGACTTATAAAAAAAATAAAAAAAAAAAAAAAAAGGATGCATGCATAACAAATGTTTGTTTGTTTGTTTTTTATGTGACCAGCAAGGGGATTACAACGCTTGGCATGGTGTCGCCCGTACGGCGCTCAGCCAGTGAGCGCACCGGCCATCCCTACATAGGATCTGAAACCGCGGCCTCGGCGCTCCCAGCGCCACACTCTCCTGAGTGAGCCACGGGGTCGGCCCCACGGATAACAAATGAATGGCATTTTAAGAAAACATTATGCAAATGTAAAGGATAACCTTTTAAATCATTTTTTAAAAGAATTAATATGGAAATCATTAGAAATAAATTTAACTATGATCCCTTACCAACCTCGCTTTCCAACACAAGATAAAAGAAACAGAAAAAAAATTCTGAAACTGGAATTAAAGTGCCTTCATACCTTTTAAATCATTTTTTAAAAGAATTAATATGGAAATCATTAGAAATAAATTTAACTATGATCCCTTACCAACCTCACTTTCCAACACAAGATAAAAGAAACAGAAAAAAAATTCTGAAACTGGAATTAAAGTGCCTTCTATTAGAAATGTATAAATCGGGGCCGGCCCGGTGGCGCACTGCTATAGTGCGCCGCTTGGGAAGTGCGACGGCGCTCCCGCCGAGGGTTCGGATCCGACATACAGACCGGTTCCCGCTCACTGGCTGAGCGAGGCGTGGGAGCAACACCGAGGGCTGCGATCCCGTTGCCGGTCCCGGTCCGGTATGGGGGCGACACTGAGGGTGGCGATCCGTTGCCGGACACGGAAAAAGACAAAAAAAAAAAAAAAGAAATGTATAAATCGGGGCCGGCCCGGTGGCGCACTGCTATAGTGCGCCGCTTGGGAAGTGCGACGGCGCTCCCGCCGAGGGTTCGGATCCGACATACAGACCGGTTCCCGCTCACTGGCTGAGCGAGGCGTGGGAGCAACACCGAGGGCTGCGATCCCGTTGCCGGTCCCGGTCCGGTATGGGGGCGACACTGAGGGTGGCGATCCGTTGCCGGACACGGAAAAAGACAAAAAAAAAAAAAAAGAAATGTATAAATCTAGGGCCAACCCCATGGCGCAGCCGGGGCACGCGCTGGCTGAGCGCGGGGCGGGCAACACCACCCCAAGGGTTGCAATCCCCTTACCAGTCACAAAAAGGACCTTAAAAAAAAAAAAAAAAGAAATGTATAAATCTAGTTCTCATAATACATCCCATTTAAAAAATCTGAAAAGTGTGTTCATATATTTGTATTCCCTGCCATGTTCCTTAAAGGATATAGAGAAATAAATATCAATTGCTTTAATAAAGAATTAAAAGCAAAATAATGAGAAAATTGAGGAATGAAAATAATAAAATAAAAACATAGTGAAGGCTAACGCATAAAAGCAAAACCACAATGAGGTCTTACACACTTTTTTTTTTTTTTTTTTTGGTCTTTTGTCTTTTTTNCCTCGGTGTTGCTCCCGCGCCTCGCTCAGCCAGTGAGCGGGAACCGGTCTGTACGTGGGACCCGAACCCTCGGACGGGAGCGCCGCCGCGCCTCCCAAGCGGCGCACTATCCAGTGCGTCACCGGGCCGGCCCTTATACACTTTTTTTTACCAGCTAAAATTTAGCTCTGTGTTTGCAATCAGCTATAGCAAAGAAGGGAACATGATTAGTTAAAAGATAGTTATGTTAATAAACACAAGAATCAAAGATCATTATCAGCTTTTTTTAATAGTGATTCCTGAGAAAAGTACAAGAGTACTTCAAAAAGTTCATGGAAAAATTCGTATTATCTTACAATTCTATTTTATCCACGAACTTTATGAAGTGCCCTCATATTTTCTATGAATTTTGTAAAGAACTAAAAATAAACCATCAAGCCACAAGAATACAAAATAAAAGGCTAGTAAAGTTAATGGCGCAATTGGGAGAAATGCATAAAAATAATCTGTAGTAAAATTATTAAATAAAATACTTAATGATGCTTCTTATTACTCAACATAATACTCATATAATTGTCACATAAGATTTACTGACCTTCCTGAATTGCCATGTCCACAGTTATCCTAGAAGTTGAATGCAAAAGTTTTTGGTAATTCTGTGCATTCTGGTCAAATAACTGTACAAGAAGAGTGCATGTCTTTTCATATTCACATCTGCTAACGGTGCACAACTGCTCCAGCTGCTGAAACACAGTAGCGGTATCATCCAGTGGATCATCTAAATGATCTCTGCAAACACATAAGAATAAGTTTACAGAGGATATTAGAATGTGATGTACTTTCATTCACCACAAACAAACTTTATGTTAAATAAAAATTCCATGATAGATAAAGAAATAAAAGACAAATGGATTAGAAGGTCAGAAATATAACTAGTCTATATTTGAAGATGACATAATTATGTTTACATAGAAAACAACAAAGAAACCACAAAAAAGCTATGGAAACTAATAGGAGAGTTTACTAAGGTCACAGCATTACAAGGTCAATATGCAAAATCAAATACATTACTATACACTGGCAATGAACAATTGGAAATTAAAATTTAAAAACAGTATCATACAAAGGCACCAGAAAACATAAAATGTTAATTAAATCTAACTAAACATTTGCAAGATATAAAGGCTAAAAACTACAAAACACTGATGAAAGAAGTCACAGAAGAACTAAGTAAATTAAAAGATAGACATGCTCACTGAATGAAAGACTCAACATTGTCAAGATGTCAATTCTTCCCCCAAATTAATCTATAGATTCAATGTAATGCCAGTCAAAATCCCAGCAGTATTTCTTTGTAGAAACTGACAAACTGATTCTAAAATTTACATGCAAAAGCATAGGAAGTAGAATAGCCAAAACAATTTTGAAAAGGGAAAATCACGCTGGAGAACTCACACTATCTGGTTTTAAAGCTTATTATAATGCTACAATACTCAAGACGGGGTACTGGCAAAAGGATAAACATATTAATGGGAATAGAGAGTCCAGAAATAGAACCACATGTGTATGGTCAATTACTTTACACAATAGTGTGATNATAGAGAGTCCAGAAATAGAACCACATGTGTATGGTCAATTACTTTACACAATAGTGTGATTACAATTCAATGGAGAAAGGATAGTCTTTTCCTCAAAAAGTGTTGGAATAATTGGTCATCTATATGCCAAAGGAAAAAAAAATGAATTAGAGCCTTACCTGATGTAATAAACAAAAAATAACTTGAAATGGATCATAGACCTAAATGTAAATCCTGAAACTATAACATTTCTAGAAGAAAAAATAAAACAAAATCTTGTAACCTTGGGTTAGGTAAAGATTCCTGAGGTACAACACCAAAAACATAATACGTGAAAGAAAAGAAAGGATAAAGTGGACTTAATCAAATTTTAAAACATTTGCTCTTCTAAAGACTCTGTTAAGGAAATGAAAAGGCAAATGATGAACTGAGAGAAAATATTTGCAAAATTCATACATGATAAAGACTTGTGAACAGAACATATACACCTCTCAAATCTCAATGTAAGAAAATAAACAACCCAATAAAGCTGGAGGCACAACACTACCTGACTTTAAACTATACTACAAAGCTATAATAACCA